CCACTTCTTCCCACTTTACTATTACTTATTCTTTTCCTGAGGAGTAGATAAAGATCACCTCTTCTCACCTACCCTTTTAACAGTCATTAAATTCAGTAGTTCAATGTCATGGGCATGGACATACAGTTAACTGAACATAGCAAACACAGCCAGACCTTCTGACTATCAGTCCATTCCTTTCTCCCCCTACTTCAAACTTCATTCAGTAAATAATTATATGTTCTATATGCTAAATACTATTTTAAACATGAGAACTTCTACAGTTTATTATCCCTCCTTTTGAAGGAGCTGATGATTAATGAGGAAGTCAATGATTGTGGTTCAGAAGAGAAGTAGACAGAGGGAGGCAAAACTGGAGAAAGCCCTTAACCAATCACAGCATCAGGAAGGATTTTCTGGCAAAGTGTTGGAGATGAGCTGGGTTGCTCAGCTAGAGGATACTAGGGTTGCAAGCGTGGGAGACAGAGAATGGTGTGCACTCTAAAAGAATATTCCATGTTATAATCCAGGCCTCAGGGCATAGAACTTGCCTGAGGGTGTAGGCTCTGGGAGCAAAAGGAAAAACAGGAAGGGAGTCAGCAAAGGACCTGTTGGAAGAACTAGAAGCATACAGTTTGTATTGTAAACAAGTGAGAGGTTTGAGAAGATGATCATCAAATTTCCATTCTAAACTATCACTGGAAGTGGTTGGAGAATGAACTGAAGGTTGGGTATGAGGTAGGGGAGGCTCATGTAAAGAAGAAAGAATACTTAGGGGACTGATGTTGGTATCGTCAATGTAACTTATTTTTGAAGTGGTGAATTAAATGGAAGCAGCAGAAATGGAAAGGGAAAATGAAGCCCAGAAATATTGGGCTAAAACCAGCAGGCCTGTGTGTCCTGTGAGATGTGGAAGGAGCAAGACTGGGCTGATGGTATTTGAAGATGTTGACTCTGGAGTGCCCGTGGGACAGCTAGAGCAGTTGGACATTTAAATCCCAGGCTCAGAAAAGGTCTGGCTGAAGGAGTATTTGGAAAGCTGCTGGTACAGATACCAGCTAAAGTAAAGGCCTGGAAGAAGAGCTTGGGTGAGAGTTAGGATGCAGGTATGCAAGGTGGATTCTTGGGTACACTGTAGGTGATAGGGATAGCAGAGAAAGGAAACAGAGGTGAGGCAGGAGAGGAGAGTCACTTAAGGTAAGAGAGCAGGTTCTGGTTAGGACTCCTACAGAAGCATTCAAACAAACTAAGCAGGGAGAGACCTGCTTCCGTTTTCTTGAGATAGCATCCCACTATGTAGCCTAATCTGGTCTGGCCTTGAACTCTCAATCTTCCTGTTTTGGTCCCCCACCCCCAGTGCTGGCTGAGTACAGGCCTGTGCCACCCTTCCTGGCCCGATTCCCACTTTCCTTCTATAATATTGAATCTGAACTCACTAATGCCATTGCACTTACCCCATTCCCTTCCTCATCGCTCCCCAATAGCCCCTCTGTGTAGGGACACACTAAGAAGTCATGCTGTTCCTATGTTCAGATTTTGGCCCTTTTTAGGCTTTCAGACCTAACACCAGTGGCTGGCCCAATGTAGTCCGTTCCATAGATACTTGTTTATATACCACTTCGCACTTCATTTGGGGATATCTGGTGGGTTTGACTAAAGCCTGTCTCTTCTTTATAAACTTCTTGAGAAAGGGGTTCTTAATCTTTCTCCGTGGTTCTTATAGCCTAGAGTAGACTACAGAGTAAAAACCTATTGCTCTGAAAAAGCTTCCTGATTAATCAAAATGACTGACTTGAGCTTATCTAGTTTATAGGGATCCTTAGGAAGGACTGAAATTGCAGCTGTCTGGGGGAAGGAGTGAACGTTGTGCAAGGGAGATCATTCTGAGGTGGCATCTTTGTCAGTTGCTAACCACATCATCTCAGAGTGGAGTATCTATGGGGAGAGGCCAGGAGTGAGGGAGGGGTCTTCAGTGAAAGTAGACACCAGGAAAGCTGGGAGGTGTGTGTTTGTATCAGTGTTGCAATGTCAGTATGTAGTTTCCTCCAAAATGGGCTCAAACTTTACAGCTGGCTCTTTGAAACCTCCTTTTGTAAGCACTGCCTACTCTGACTGATGAAAATGAAGGGCAGGTTATCAAGACTCTGCACAACAGTGTCTTCTGAAGTCAATGTTGGTAAAATAATTGTAACATATTACCACCATTATGTAACTAGAGTTTAGGGCAAAATCACCAGCTCCAGCATCCCCCAACAAGTTACATTTAGTCATGTATCCCAATATACCAATAAAAGAGTCAAGTAATGGCGAAAACAGGGTATTTGTTTAAGGTATTGGGAAGGGGAACAAGCAGAGGAGTCCAGTGACTCCCAAGTTTGTCTTCAGGGCAATGACATGAGCTTTAGGTTTAAACAGAGGAAGAATTTGGGGTAGGAGGCAAGATGTATGCATAATTAAGCAGTCCTGATCAAGATGCAGTTGATCTGGTTGATCTTCTTTTGGGTCTTCAAGGTGGTCTGAAGCAGCCCTTATTGTCTGAGGGGACCAGTCTGGTCTTAGGTGGAACAAGCTCTTGTTCTACTGCATTATGGACAGTTGGCTTTGATGGTAAAGAAGGTCCTGTGAGTCTCTTCTGTCCTGGAATCCAAGGTGACTTGCAGATCTAGGACAGTGATTTATCTCCCTGCTTCAGCCTTGAAACAGGATGAGACAGGTTACGTAGGCAGACATTCTGTGAGTGAGTAACATGCTTATGCAGACTCAGGCAGGAGACTGTCCTACAGTAAAGAAGTCAGAGCGGCCCGGCTTTCATCCTGTGTTTAGTTTCCTTGTGGGTCCAAATACTTAAAAGCAGCTTTAAACGCCAGTTATAATTGTGGTTTTGTTGGTTACTCTCAAAGGGAGAGTTTCATATCAAGGAAGAAAGAGATAGTTACTAAAGAAAGAACAAAAAAAATAACTTCTCTTTCTGACTATGAGTTTAAAATTTGTCATTTCCCCAAACTTCCAAAGGATGGTGTAAGTCCTTTCTATCCATAGGTAAAGAACTTAGATTTCACAATACCTCCATTGCTGAGAAAGAGAAGGAATCACATTCTGGGTTGGATGCAATGGTAGCTTTATCACCGGACTACTAGATTCCCTTCTCAAGTTACAGAATCCAGAGGGTAGAGTTATTAAGGAGACCTAAAGAGTAGTGTGTCTGCATTTTAAATATCTACAAAGGAAATGGTGAGTCTGCCATTTGTGTGTGCGTGTGTGTGTGTGTGTGTGTGTGTGTGTGTGTGTGTGTGTGTGTGCTTCTTTTCGTTTGAAGTTAAGGTTATTATCCTTTTGGTCTTACCCCTCTCTGCTTCTTAGTTCCATAAATCTCTTCCTGGTTTATTTTCTCTAAGAACAAAGTAGAAATATTTTTAGCTAAAGGACTTGTCAACATAAAGTCAAGAAGACGGTTGGGGGAATGCAGACTAGAGGAGCTGCAATGCACAGCGCTCTGCAGCCGTGGCCTTTTGAAGACCAGCAAGAAGGCATGATCCCATTCTGCCTTTTCTCCCAGAAGAAACAGATATGAGTTACTTCCCAGGACCTAATTATGCCCCATTCCTTCATTAGACAAACTCCAAAGTTTTAGTCTTTAGAAATACCGTTGTCACTGGATCTGTAAGAACTTATTTAATAGACACCCTATTGGAAAGGATAGGAGAGTAAGAAGGACTCTTGAAGTTATGTATTATTTAATTCTGGGTACAGAATTAACTCCAGTTGGCATGGGCAAGTCAACATAATGGAAATGTTCTTGATATTGAAGACATTCAGATGGTAAAATTAGATTAGCAATTTCATCTGTTTAAGAGCTACTTTTTATTTGTGTGTGTGTGTGTGTGTGTGTGTGTGTGTGTGTGTGTGTGTGCCACATGTGTGCATGTGCCTACAGAAGCCAGAAGAGGACATCAGATCCCCTGGAGTTAGAGTCACAGGCATTTATGAGCTGTCTGATATGTGTGCTGGGAACTGAACTCCAGTTCTCTGGAAGAGTAGGAAACACTTTTAACTGCTGAGCCATCTCTCAGCCTCCTTGTCTTATTTTTCAGATGCTTCACAAGAGATAGCAGAAACCTGTGTGTGAACAATAGAGTTCCACTAAGCCCAGCTTCCCCAGATAACGTGTTGCTAACAGCAACAGGAGAACTTGAAAAGTCATTCCATCTCCCAGGTTCATCCTTGTTCCTCCTAAGACTTAGTAGTAGGAGCCAAAGCACTGTGACCCCTCTGCTGTGCCGACAGTGGAAACAGTGTAGCTTTTTCTTTTTGTTTTTAGATGAATGGAGGTATTCTGATAATTAATTTCTTTCACACTACCTCTTTCTGTGTTTCTCACACTGGTTGACTCTGTGACCCTTAATACTTTTCTCTTGGTGTCTTCAAGTCCTAGGTTGAGCTTTAGCGCATAGCATACTCCTGGTAGGAGATGATTGTTTGATGTGTGCTGGCTAAGTGAATGTCTCAGCACAGCATTATGGGGGCTGGAATGGAAGAAGAAGGCGTAGAGGAGGCACTCACAAACTATTCCTGGATCTCACATGATTCCTTGGATCTCAGATTTAGAACCAAGCATTTTATTAAATACTTCATAGGCATTGTGCCATGTGGTTCTTATGTTAATGTGTGAGGCAGCTTCTCATTAACCATTTCACAGATGAGAGCGTATGGGCTGAGTCACATGATTTGTGAATGCTGGGGCTCAGGACTCGAACTTGTGTCTCTCTGGTGCCAGTATCAGAATGAACTTCACTAGTGGAACCTCCTCAGAGACTGGTTTTCTAGGCTTATTTCTTGGCAAAAGTCCTTTGATTTGCAAGATGTGGTGGTGCATGCCTGTAATTCTAGCACTTCGAAGGTAGGAGTTTGGTGTGTTCAAGAGCAAACCTGGGTTACAGAACAAATCACTGTCTCAAAAGAGAAAGAAGCAATTCTTTGATGTCTCAGCCTAAAGACTTTCCTTGTCTTTTTCTTTCTCCCAGGAATTCTTCAAGACACAGTTGAAGGACCACTTGAACAGACCTGTCCCCCAACTGTATCTTCAATCTGAATGTTTGTAGAGGCCCTGTGGATCAGTGTACTCCTCTAACTGAAGCACGTATTGCAGTTTTCTATCATAACCCACTACTTGTCTGCCCAGTAGACACTGATCTCTGCATACGCAAGTAACCTACCTACCTTTCTGGTTTTTGTATCCCTAGTACCTGGCACTTCAACCTAGTAGAGAGCTCAACTCATAATAATAACAACTACTTAACATTTGCTAATCTTGGACCATACAGCTCAACCAGACAATCACAACAGAATGCAATATGTAAAATTATTACCCCCATTTTACAGATGAAGAGACTGAGACCTACAGAGTTCTAATTGGTCAACTCAGTAAGCAGCAAAACCAGGGCTTGACTCCAAGTTTTCCTAAACTTCACTCACATTTTATTAATTTTCATGCCTGACATTTTTTACCCAATTAGATATCTTTTCTTTCATTATTATTGTGTGTGAAGTAAGTCAGGCATGGTGGTGCATACTTTTAATCCCAGCACTCAGGAGGGAGAGACAGGTAGATCTCTGAGAGAGCAAAGCAGCCTGGTCTATATAGTAAGGTCCAGGCAAGCTGGAGCTACAGAGAGACCCCGGCTCAAACAAAACATAACAAAACAAATGTAAAGTAGAAAGATTATGTTTTTTGAGCAGCACTTGCTGTATTTCTTCCAGTTAAGGTTCTTTGAAGGAAGGGGACCATTTAGATAAATCAGGTATTCAACTTTCTTGAGGAAGAAAAAAATTTGAGAAACAAAAGATACAGAAAGTAAAAAAAAAAAAAAAAAAAAAACAAAAAAAAAAAACAGCAAAAGAAAGTACCTGTATATCAAAACTTACACACTTGGTGAGTTCACATGAAAATATACATCAATTTTATGAAATAGTTTAAGAAATAATGGTTGTGCTTATCTGGCTTATTTGTCACCCAGAAATTTCAAGTACCAAAAGCATTTCAGAGGTCTGAAATTCATCACATACAAATGTAGCTATCTGGGAGAGGCAAAGCACAATATACCCGCTTTCCTAAGCAAAATTTAAAGAAACAAAATGAATAGTCTTTGCAATTAGACTTTAGTTATATTTAACTATGCTTTAAAAATATTTATTTATTATTTTTATTTTATGTGTATGATTATATTGCCTGCATGTATGTAAGTGCATCCATGTTGTGCATTGCCCACAGAGGACAGAAGAGGTTGTCAGATTCCCCTGGAACTAGAGTTACGGGCAGTTGTTAGCTGCTATGTGAGTGCTGGGAATCGAACTGGGGTTTCTGCAAAAGCAGCCAGTGATCTTAACTGCTGAGCCATCCATCTCTCCAGCCCCTTTGGTCATGTTTTTAATTTTATGTTGAACTAGGATTTAACCTAGGAATTAAAGATGCTAAGAGTAAACTAGTAAGGATTACAGGGTTGGTCAGCAAGAGAAATACATAAGAGAATGTGGAATTAAGAAAATGATCTTTAGAATACCTTCAATCCATCTAAAAAGAAAACACTAAGGGATTTCCTTGATCAGCCAGTAGAGGGATCAGAATACTTGGGTGTCAATAACTGACTTTCCTAAAAGGCCTAAAACATGACAACATGGCTTTTCAAATGGGGCGGCTAATGTACCTGTTTTCACAGGATGACTGCCTCTCACTGTTTCAATATCCTACAATATGTATGTGTTGGCTTTCCAAACTAATTTGCCTTAAATTTGAGGTTCAATCAGTTGCTTACCTTAGATTTTGAAAATACCATCAGATGAGTGATAGAGCCTTATTTATTTATTTATTTATTTATTTATTTATTTATTTAATGTGTATGTATATGTACTTGAGTTTATTTTATAGATAGGCATTGCTACATAGCACAAGATAACCTTGAACTCACTGTGTAGCTCAGACTGGCCTCCAACTGAGAGCCTCTTGCCTCAGCAGGGATTACAGGCATATGCTAGCCTGCCCAGCTAATATTTATAATTCTTTATATTTGATCATAGCTCAGGGCCATTTGGTGATTGCATTTTAATATCTGGGAAATGCTATAATCTTTAAAAGAACTGCCTTCTAGATATCATTAAATCTTGCTTATCATTAGCAATGGCTGTCATTAAATCACATAGACTAACAATACCCAGTATACACCAGTAGTGTAGCAAACACAGAATCAGAATGTGGCAGCAGTGAGTGAGTTCGTTCCAGCTCCATCCTACAGACGAAAATAATGAGGCTCAGAGAATCCATCTGCATTTCCTTGCTTCCTCTACAATCTGAGGAAGCCATGATCCGTTACATAAAGATATAGTTCCTTGGCCGTCTTGGCTGCATTTGTTTCTCACTACCCCTTTCTTCTCTTCCGGTTGCCCTGCAGAGCCCTGGGGATCCCTGGACCACCGTTGCCATGACGACCGCCATCCTGGAGCGCCTGAGCACCCTGTCTGTGAGCGGGCAGCAGCTTCGTCGTTTGCCCAAGATTCTGGAAGATGGACTTCCCAAGATGCCCTGCACCGTCCCAGAAACCGACGTGCCCCAGCTCTTCCGGGAGCCTTACATCCACGCGGGTTACCGCCCCACAGGGCACGAGTGGCGCTACTACTTTCTAAGCCTCTTTCAGAAACACAACGAGGTGGTCAACGTCTGGACCCATTTGCTGGCGGCCTTGGCCGTCCTTTTGCGATTCTGGGCCTTTGCTGAGGCTGAAGCCTTGGCTTGGGCTTCCCCCCACACCCTGCCCCTGCTCCTCTTTATCCTGTCCTCCATCACTTACCTCACATGCAGCCTTTTGGCCCACCTGCTGCAGTCCAAGTCGGAGCTGTCCCATTACACTTTCTACTTTGTGGACTACGTTGGCGTCAGTGTCTATCAGTATGGCAGTGCGTTGGCTCACTTTTTCTATAGCTCTGACCAGGCCTGGTATGAACGGTTCTGGCTTTTCTTCTTGCCAGCAGCGGCCTTCTGTGGCTGGCTGTCCTGTGCAGGCTGTTGCTATGCCAAATATAGGTACCGAAGGCCTTATCCAGTGATGCGGAAGATCTGTCAAGTAGTACCTGCAGGGCTGGCTTTCATCCTAGACATCAGCCCCGTGGCCCACCGGGTGGCTCTCTGTCACCTGGCAGGCTGCCAGGAACAAGCGGCCTGGTACCACACTCTCCAGATCCTCTTCTTCCTGGTCAGTGCCTACTTCTTCTCCTGCCCAGTGCCGGAGAAGTACTTTCCTGGTTCCTGTGACATTGTGGGCCATGGGCATCAGATCTTCCACGCCTTTCTTTCTGTTTGCACGCTTTCTCAGTTGGAAGCCATTCTTCTAGACTACCAGGGACGCCATGAGATCTTCCTGCAGCGCCACAGTCCCCTGTCTGTCTACACAGCCTGCCTCTCCTTCTTCTTCTTGGCTGCCTGCAGCGCTGCTACTGCCTCTCTCCTGAGGCACAAGGTCAAGGCCAGACTGATCCCAAAAGACTCCTGAGGCCTGCAAAAGGAGGATGTAGAGGTGGCCTACTGTGATTTGGGAAAAACTTGACACAACCATAAAAGCTGACTTTTTATTTCTAAGACTTGATTTTTAAATTAATATGTATTTGGGACTGGGGATGAAGCTCACTAGGTAGAGAGTGCTTGCACAGCATGCAGGAAGCCCAGGGTTCAATCCCCAGCACCATATAAACCAGGAATAGCAGCACTCAGGAGGTAGAGGCAGGATGAGAAGTTCAAGATCATCCTCAGCTACACAGTGAGTTCAAGGCCTGCCTTTGATATACAAGAACCTGTCTCAAAAAAAAAAAAGATTAATATATATGTCCAAGGGTATGGTCTGGCTATGGCATTTCAAAGGCAAGGGATTCAAGAATTTTGTCCTTAAAAAGGAATATTTCCTTCCCTTTTGGGTTATAGCCTTACACAAGAAGACATCTTGGCTAAGATTCATGGTATACCAAACTAAAGAGAACCATCTTCATCTCTGAAAATTTGGCAGAATTTTGGGTGTGGTTTCCAAAGGCAAGTCCTAGATCCGGATGGATAATAAAATTGAACTGAAAAGTAAGTTGGTGGCTGGTCCTCACCTTCCTGGAATAACTACCCTACTCTGCTGGTCTTTGATAACTGAACAAACTGGCCCACAGCTCCTGTCTTACTTGGATTTCAAATTGTCTATGATAGAAAAGTCAGAATATTCAAGATGATTCAGTGAAACCCTTAGGCAGAGTGGATTACTTGGTTTACCTGAATGCTGGTCCTTCCTCTCTTACCCACTATAACACTGGCCCTTTCTCAGGATAAGCATCTGTCTGGATGTTTTGTCTGAAGTGCTGTTCCCATCCCTTTTTTGCATGATAATATAAAGGTCTTTGAAGCTATTATACTTTCAGGAAATGCTTGGAGCCCTATGAACATTCAGGAAGGTTATTCTCACACATTGCTAACATCAGTAGTACCAGAAAGTACAACAGTGCCAAGAGCCACTAGGAGACCCAGCCAGCCAGCAAACATGGATACCCTTGCTTGTTTGGTGTCATGGAGCCCTTTTATTTTGTAGCTGTGGACTGCAGTATTACCTGCAAACTATTTAAGGTTGCCTTGCAGACCAGGAAATCTGGGAGTTGTAGGAATTGTCTATAGGTTTGAACAGATTGTTTAAAAAACTTGGTTCTAAAGGTCCTCGAGGGATCTGCTTATTTCAAGAGGAACTTGAGGTCCAAGATTCAATTTTCTATGCAGATATTGTCCCACAAAGGATCAACATAACTACCCTATAATAGGTCCTAGAACAGGCAAATGTGTGCTCACCGTGGTTCACCTCTGATGGTCCTTTGAGTAAGAATGAAGCACCCTATAGCCAAAATGGACTGTTTGTAACGTTGTTGCCCAGCAGCTGCGGTAGTGTCGGTTGTACTTGCTGCTTATATGTTCTGGCCACACAGCTCTCTCTGAGGACCGACTTCTGCATTAATCCAGTGAAGGAGGCTGTGTTAAAGAAGGACTTAGATGCCCTCTCATCACAGGCTGCATTTCCCATCAGTATAAGATCCCTGGTTTACTAAAAAGGAAAGTGGCCTGTTTTAACTCCAGTTTGATGAACCTCTTCCATTATTAGGTCACTTTCTTGTCTTCAAACCTTTGTTTTTTTTACCTTTCTATGAGAGATTTGTGAGTTTTGTTCCTTAGACATGGGAATGCCTGAACACTTTAATATATGCACATGTGGAATTTGCTGCTTGGGGATAAGAAAAAAAAAGTCAAGAGCCTCAGAAACCTAGAATTACATATCAAAAGACTTTTAATCTGTATTTTGGCCAAAAAATTCAACTTGGAAGCTCCCTATCATCTTTAAAGCAAGAAAACATGTGTCTATGTTGTTTAACTAGATGGATTGCTATTTAATTGTCAAGTATCTGAACTTTTACAGTACCCAAGTGTCTTACAGAGGCTTCTGGTTGTCTAGGCCATATTGACAGCAAAGAAAGTTAGCAAAACTCAACTGGGTTGAAATGAATGAAGAGTTGGGAGAACTGTGTAGATGTTGAAGCTGAGGGTCTATTTAAAATGGGAACCTGAAAGCACTAAAAATTTTCATTGTTATGGATTCCAAGACTGTAATCTTTTAAAGGTCGGTGGGAAAAGTAAGAGAAGAAGGAAGAAGGGAGGGGTACTAAGGTCTTGGCTATAACCATGTTGGGGTTTGGACAGAGATCTTTAGACCAAATCATCTAGATGTTTTGAAGGCAAGAACGGGGTAAAGCAGCACCCTTCAAATGCACCTGCAGTCCAGTGTCAGGCTGCACCACGGTAATGACAAACCTATGACATCATAAGCATTAAGGCACTAAACTTTGAGATAGTGACATGCGAGTTTTATTTTAACTTATACAAGTATTGGCTAGCAAAGTGACTAGAAATTAACAAGAAAGAAAGATGTCTGGGTTCAAACCCAAGGCCTCCAACATACTAGACAAGCATTCTCCTAGTGAGCTACACTCCAAGGCCAAGAAATAGTTTATTCATAAGAGATATTTGAGAAGCATTGAGGTAAAGAACTATGATTTGCTCTCAAAATACCAGTATTTAATTAGAAAAATATAAGCATGGGACATGCAGATGATTTTAACTTTTCAGGCTTTTGAGGGGTTAACATTCCTTTTAAAACAGTGTCATTAAATGAGTGCATCAGTAAGCAAAAGACTTGATCAGTTTAAAAGGAATAATTAAGAATTATATATAGGAGTATGGATACATCTTGATTTGCAATGGGATTACCAATCTCAAAATATCAGCATCGGATAGGAAAAAAAGATGGCAGGGAGATGGCTGTCTTTCTCCAGGACAGCCTCTCCAACATCAGAAATCCTGGTTGTCTCCGCCTCTCTTTTAATTATGACTTTCAAACCATTAAAATGCAAATGCTTCTGATAAAATTAGACTACAAATCATTTACTTTTTCTCATGAATACAAATTCACATGGATTTGCATGAGGCCCTTCTTAGATCAGGGAGAGGGGCAACAGAATGCATTTTGGGGACCTTTGTTCCCTGTTTCTCATGTATTTTTCCTGATTTGCATTTATAGATGAGGGTTTTTATGGTTTTTGTTGTTGTTGTTTGATTGTTTTTGCTTTATTTTGGGTTGTGGTTTTGGTTTTGAGATAGGTCTCACTGTGTTTCCCAGGCTGGCCTGGAACACCTGATTCTCCCATCTCAGTCAGCCAAGGGGCTAGGGTTACAGGCCACACCACCACACCCAACTCTGATGAGCTCATTCTAATGTTCTTAAGGACATTGGGGTTCCATTTTCAACTCTGGCCATAAATATCTCAGTAACAAGATTACAAGAGCCATCAACTGGAAGCATGAAATAGTAGAAGTTCGGAACATGAAATGAAGGGAGTTCATTCCTGTCTCTGTTGTGCACCTGTTTCTAACCTGTTCCTAACTTGTCTTAACATTAGGGTCTTTGGTTGCTAAGCTGTAGTTTTGAATGGGTCCTCTAGAGGGCACTCTTGTCTCAGTCATTGTAAGGGTTCTGCCTACTAATTGTATTATTGGTCTTGTGTTTGATTGCTCGGCAAAGAAAAGGGGAATTGCTTTCTGTCTGTACAAATCTACTTACATGAATAGACATTAAACATCTTTTGCATATGAATTTGTGTTGTATTAACAGTGTAAAGAAACAGCTACCTTCTTTGACCCCTTAACACCCACCCCCACCCCCCACCCCCACCCGGACAAGGGCTGCCTGGACACAACCCCATCTAAAGCAAGGTTTTATTTAGACTGACTTTGCCAGGAGAAGGAAATCGTGGTAGTAGATCCATCTAGAAGCAGGAAAATATAAAAACTTTTAAAATGTCTCTTTACTGAGGCCCTCATTTGAGTAGAGCAAACTGCCCCTTGAAAAGCTACAGAGTTGATTTCTCTGAGGATTTCAATATAATTGAATAAATATCCCTAGCTTCTTAAACAATAGTATTAAAGATTTCAAAATTTTGAATTGATGGCCTATATTTTGAAATATAAAAGTATTTGAACTGCATTACAGTTTCTACTTTAACAAGTACTGTTGATGCGTGAGTTATGACACAAGACATCTGCCAACCTTGTAGTCTTCACTGTTTGATTTAAGTAACTGTACAAAGGGAGATTCTCTGGGTAACTGTGGCTTTATTATTACAATGATAATTGTAAGAAACTCGGACATTTCCACAGCTAGAAGGCTCCACTGGTACACTGGTAGGACTATAGATGTCCCTCTTTATTAGACCTTTATTTATCTTTTTTATTATTTATTTATTTATTTATTTATTTATTTATTTATGTCTCCCTGTAGCCCCAGCTGTCATGGAACTCACTATGTAGACCAAGCT